GGATGTGATTAATTTAGGAGCTCTCCTGCTTCCTCTGGTTGTATTTCCTCCTCCTGAAATAACCGTCTTCTTTTAAAACTCAGACTAATTTCCAAAGCAACCAACCCTCAATGCCCTCTTCCTTTCTGCTCCTGGTTAACTAACAGTCCTGGCTATTTTCCAAGCGAAGGCATGCTTGAATACAATGTTTGTGAACTGCAAGCTGACATCATCTTCTACCCCCCCTCTGCATTTTTCCTCTTCTTAATTCACAACAGGGAAGATTCTTTTAACAGTTAGCAACTGCCACATGTAATCTTTCTCCATATTTGGGAATTTGTATTGTACACAGGCTGGTATAACTTGGGGTTCTCTCGAAGTCCATCCTATGTGCAATTCCCAACAAAAGACTTCTCTTGCATCTTTCTAAGCAGACAGCAATATGGAGAGCTTATTTTTAAGGGGGTTTGCCTTGATGTTGAAGCTGGCTTCCTCTTTCTCCCCATCCCCACCGCAGTATTTGGCCTTTTTCTAAATAATTCAAAAGATCTGAAACTTTTAAAAACTAATTAAGCATTCAGTCTTATATATATTTAAGCAGAAAAAGCCCTACATTTTCCAGCAGTTCTTAGGCAAACATGCTGTGGAATGCTGGAAATTGTAGGATTTTGTTTTGTTTAAACATGCATAGGATTACCCCCAAGCTGTTGTGTTTTTATGCAACAATGAACCTCCAGCATGATACTGGTGGTTTCCTGCTTCCTCTCTGCTAAGAGACTGTCAATTCCCTTTGGAAACATGGTGCATTTGTTAGGGGCCCAAGGGAAGCAACACATCCGCCACCTTAATGGGGTTTAATTTCCACACTGGGCAGCCAAGAAGATGAGAATTCTTACTTTGCTTGTCCTGTTACTTCCATGCTAAATCTCCCCCCCCACACTTAAATTTACATGCATCCCCCCCCCCCCCCCCAGTTCTGGAGCTAGAAACATGCTGGACTAGAACACTTGCAGGCTTGCTGCATCTTCAATTCTGCCCCATTCCCTTTCTCATTCTTTACTGATTGTATTACTCATATTCAAGTTTGGTTAACATACTAGGGTCAAAGAGCATTTCTCCCCCACCCACATCAAACTGATTCCTTATCTGGCTCTGGATAACTTTTAATGCATGTATTTATTCCTCCCTGCGATCCTCTTTTGGACAAACGCACAGTCTATAGAAAATAAATAACTATATCAAAGGAGGAAAAGTTGCCTCCACATAGCATGTGACCTGATTCGCTTGCATGAATACCATGGGGAAGTTTTATTTGTTTCTCATCCTCTCACGCTGTCTGCTTTCTCTCTCAGCCCATGGCACTGTGACCTGGATCCACTGAGAGCTGCTAAGTAAACGCAAGAATGTTGGTCTGGGCAGCTTCTCCAAGCAGAGAGCCCTGTAGGAGCAACTGTTGGCTGTGACATGAAGCACCACCTTTTTCAACAGCTTCCTAAGTTAATACCCTTGACAGATGGCAGCCACCTGTTTCCATGATACCAGCCATGTATTTCAACTCAGCAACGAGGGGTTGTACTGGGATTCATTTCAGTACCCTTATGAAATCTAGCAGGAGATCTAAACTACCATGAATTAATGTTACATCTCAGCTGTGTGGCTCCTTGCCCCAGCTAATGCAATGTAAACAACGTTAAGCAAAGTCTTTTTAGCCTGTGGCAATGCTCTCATGCTCGGGGCCAGGATAAAGTGCAGGCATGGCTGGGCACCAGCTGAGCTCCCACCCACTAGCAGGGGCCCACTGGTGAGGGCCCCTGCAGTGGCTCCTCCTGTTCAGCCACACAGCCTGCTGCTTTGCCTGCTGCTTGATTTGGCCCAGACAACAGTGGTGGTGGTGGTGAGAAGGGACAGGAGATGCCACAGCCGGCTTGCCACTGGCTGCGTGCCTGTGAAGCAAGCAAGTGGCTGCTACAATGGGGAGCAGCTAGTGACAAGGGTGGTGAGCAGGGAGATGGGAGGGGGGCCAGCAGGGTGCCTTACTCCCGGGCCTCAGTGCAGGCTTCAATCCTATGCTCATTTAAATTGTAAGAAAATTAAGAGAAGGAAAGTAGTCTGTCCCGTCCTCTCCTCAGCGGCCCAGTGCTCCCCTTCCTGTGTTTGTCAGGAGCCTTGCTTAAATCAACTCATCCAATCAGGCACCTTTTTGTAGCGGCATCGCCACACTTTAGGAACCCCTCCCATCACATCTAGACTTCTGCTATTCAAGTAAATACTACTCAATTTGCCCAGCCTTGTGCTTAAAGCCAGCTTAGTATTATTGTATATTGCAGCTGTTTTTAATGCTATTTGACAGTTACTTCTTATCTATTAATTTAATTCAGATTGTTTGCTGTTGCTGCTTAGTACATGAATTACAGAAAATGGGGCTATCCACAGTTACAATTAAAATACTGTACTGAAAATATTTGCTTGAACAAATACGCATCGTTTGAGTGACACCTTGTGACTGGAGAAAAGAAATGCATTTCTTACCATAGAAATGCCCCCCCCCCCCCACAGAGACAGTAGCAACAGAGATGGTAAGTGTGTTTGTGGGTGGAGGCAGAGATGGGACTGTGGGGAGATGTGGCAGGAAAACTGGCACTGGTAGAAATAAGAAAAGCTTGGCAGAGTGAGGTTGCCAATGGACAGACACTAAGGGAGATGTTTAGAGATACAAACGGTGTCTCGCTTACGGGATTCGCACAGGCATCTGGCTGGCTACATGGAAAAAAGACTGATCTCATCTTATATTTGTAAGGATGAGCCACATCACAAAAGGTGCCAAGACAGGCTCATGGCAACTGGAGCAGGACAGATCCAAACATTCTGCAAAAACACAATGGGGCATTTTCTGTTGTTGTAGGTGCATTCATTGAGCTTCTAATTATTTCACTGGTTTCCTAATGATATGCTAATATACCCAGGCATGCATTTGGGGAATTGCTGCCACCCCAGGAACAACAGGGGGAGGTCAATATATCAATTGCCATACCCTCCACTGACATCAGTTCTCAAGAGCACCCCTCAGAATGGGGGCCTGTTGCCCAGATCTCTACTTTCTTTAGGGTTTCTGGCTGCCTGTCCTGCAGCAAAGAGACCTGCTGGTTCCAGGGCCTCTCACCAGCAGCCCTGCATCTGAGAGGCGGAATCAAGATGGTGAAGTTTCTCCTGAGGCTATGCCAGAATCCCCTTACTTGAGGGTTGTTAGTTTGGCAGGGGAGGGATAATTGCAGCTAAGGAAAAGAACTCCCTACCTCCAGTTTGTAAATGGGTGGAGATCCTAGGTGTACGCAGGTTAAATGGACCAGTGCTTTGGAAGACAAAGGGGTCTAGAGAGCCAGGGAGGAGGCAGACCCCCTTCCCCGCACTGCAGTGGTGGAGATCAGATACCTTGCAAGGGACAGAGACCAAGAAGGCAGCACTGCTTGTCTGGCTGTGCAGAAACGGCTAGGTTGTCCCCTGAAGAACTCCATCCGAAGGCCCACATTGTGAGACCATGAGAAAAGCTCTGTCTCTAAGAAGATGAACAGTTTCTTGTCAGAACAGGCTCTCCTTCTGAAGCAGACTTCCCCAACCTGCTCTCCAGTCCTGTTGGACTTTGACCATCCCTAGTAAGCATGAGAAGCCACAGTGACTTCCTGTTGTGGCTTGACAATTCTAAAAGGTTGCCCGCATGAATCACAACCCTCACTGGCATAAACAAACAACGGGCTGCTGTGATTAAGCAAACCAGTGTTTGTGGGGCAGACAATACTAGCTTCTGAGGGCAGGACGTTTGAAAGGTGCCACTATACCTGTCAGAAATTGCTTCCTGACAGGATCTTCTCCTTGTACAGCATATTCTGTACAAGGCTTCGGCAAGGGGCGGCACAGAAATGTTTTAATAAATAAATAAATAAACAAATTTTTCTGTGATTACAAGGGAGAGTAGAGTGGTAGTCTTTTGCTCATTTATTTAGGGCAAAACAGTATGGTATATAAACTTGGTGCAACCTACCTTGGTTCATAATTCAACATCTCCAGTGTGAAGAATGGGGACACCATGTGTACAAATGTAGTTTTGGGCATCAGCCCACAAGGTTATGTACAGGACAGTCTCCTGGAGGTCTAAACATATGATTGTGGATGTTCCAAATGCTATTTTAGGGGTGCAGAGCCATAATTCCCATAATCCCTAGCCAGCATGGAAGATGCCAGGAAAAGCTGGCCTAAAGAATCCTCTAGAGATCTAGATGTATAAATTGCTTGTTGTTGCTGTGTGCCCTCAAACTGCCTCTGACTTATGGAGACTCTATAAATAAAAGTTCTCCAAAAGACCTAACCATGACAGCCCCGTTCGGCTCCTGAAAATTCAAGGCTGTCTTGCTCTCTGGTCATTTCATATTTAGTCTTCCTTTTCTTCTTCTGCCCTCAATGTTTCCTAGTACAATTGTCTTCTGCAGGGAGTCTTACCTTCTCATGTTGTGCCTAAAGAATGTGAGCCTTGGCTATGTCATGTTTGCTTCTAGATAAATCTGATCTAGAACCCACTTGTTCATCTTTGTGGCAGTCCAGGGCGTTCGCATAGCTAGGCCAAAAATGATTTGGTTGGCGTACACCTCAGGCTGCACCTCTGAACTACATAAAGAACCAGGAACCAACTTCAGCCCCGCTCAAAATGCAAAAAAGCAATCCAGCTGCTGCAACACAAATTCCATCCGCCAACGCATACCGCCCTTCTTCCTATTCGCGCTACTTCCCGCGACAGGTCACTTGCGAGGTATTTGTAGTCCGGACTTCCTCAGACAGCCTTTACCACGGCCATACGAAACTACAGTTCCCAACATGCTTTGTTGCAGCGGGCCTAAGCGCATACAGGCAAAGCCGAGGCGGCGTTTCTAGGGCATTGAGCGGGGGGGGGGGTGTATGCGGGGTAATTGCGTCCTTGTGTATGTAACGTGTGCCGGCAGAGGGTCTTTGATGTTCCAGAGAGGAAGGTGCTTTTGCATTGCGGTTGTTTTCTAGGCTGTCGGTCATAAAAGCACAGCCCCCCCTCCCCCGCCACTCGTTTGCAATTACTGGTGGAGGGACTGTAACTGTTCATATTTGCATAGTTGCTTGCCTCTTTCCTCGCGGATACTGAAAAATGGTGCAAACTAAGGAAATGCATTTACTGGCATGCTAGATTTTTCTTCCCCTCTCACTTCCTTTCTTTCTGGGGTTTGTCTGCAGAATTCGAAGATCCTACCTCTGTAGGCGATGAATAGCCGAGAAAGGGCAAAGACTACAACTTTCCACTGCTGATAATACTGTATACTGGAGTGGCTACCAGATTGCAGAGCGGAGGTTTAATTTGGGGCTTGCTCATTGGTGACGATGAGGAACGACTGGTCTGTGGCCTTCGCTGGCGTTGGCGGGGCAGGGAACCTTTTAAGAAGCAGCGAGCCTGTCTCTCTCCCCGCAGCGGTATCTGAGGCGGCTTCCTTCCTGGAAGAAGCTGCTGATCTCCTGGTGATGCACAGGGACTTCGCCGCTGCCGTGGAGAGGTGTGAGAAAGGTTGCAGGAGCCTCATGGGGGGCCTAGAGAGCGACGACTCCAACAGGTACGTGCTGAACTTAACTGGGATGAAAGAAGGATGAGAAGGGTTGCTGTTCCCTTGCCTTTATATCCCTCCTGTTTTAGGTCGATCTCCTCTACTCCATTTTCACAACAACCTTGTGAGGAAGGTTAGGCTGGCAGTAGTGAAGTGCCAGGGAGCTATTGATCCCCTGTGACTGTATCTAATCTACTTTTAAAGCTCTGTTAAGTGGGTGGCTATTACCATACGTTGCAGCAGTGAATTCTATAAATTAATGTTGGATTCAGTGAGCCCTTGTGCAAATCTGCCTGCTTGGGCAGAGCAAGTATATGGAAGTCATGTGATCTAAGCTAGTTAAGCACTGTGCTCTGCAGTGTGTAGCCCTTGGGGCTGATTGGGGTCATCAAGAACAGAAACCAAGGTACTAAGGTAAGGGAGATGCTCATTCCAATACTTAAGGTTAGTCTTACATTGAGGAGAAAACAGAGTTATCTCTACTTCAAATGTTAACAGTTTTGTAATGGCTATTATAATAGTGTATTGCTCCCTGCCCCCCTCACACACACACTATTTACATAAAATGCTAAACTATGTTTCACATTAACCATGCTTTACTGCTTGGGCCATGAATTATCTTGTAGATAAGCAAATGAACTGGAGATCATTTTGCTTGCTTCTGATTTATTTCTCTTCTGCCATTTTGCCCTTCTTCAGAGTGGGTTTGTTTTCAGGCTGCTCTTGTGGGGTGGCCCTGTTTCAGCACCGACAATTGACCCCGCTAGCCAGGGTTGAACCATAATTCTGGGTTGAGACACCACAACAGGCAAAGCCAAACTTTGTACACCTACAACAAGCCATGGGCTTCTGTATGTAATTTACCCATATTAATATGTTATCGCCTGTTTGCAGGGATTGGTTCAAATATAATAACAAGCCAGATTTCAGCAAACAATACATGTCTTTGTGTTATGCATGAACCAAGCTTAATGTATGCCAAAATCTGAACTCCAGCACCCTTGTACTAATTTCAAGCAACTCTGTGAGCTGTAAACAGAAATCCCCATTTGAATGTGTAGTTATGGGGACAGAGGTTGGAGTTCCAGCTTAAGGTTGGGATGTTCCTTGTAGGAGTGCATTTTCTCTCTCTCTCACACACAGTTCTTGTTTTGCATGTCTCTTTGCTCAACCAGCTCTGAAGAACTAAAATGCTCGTTATGCATCGTGGGTGTCCAGGCCCTGGCAGAGATGAACAGATGGAGGGAAGTCCTCCCTTGGATCCTTCAATACTATCACGATCCTGAACATTGGCCTCCCAAAATTCTGGAGCTCTGGTGGGTTCCTCTCTTCTCTCTCAGTCACCAAACCTGTTTCTGGATGTACAACTTCAGCCTGCAGTTTGGCCAGAGTGCACACAACTGACTGATATCCATACAAAAAAAAAAAAAAAATCCTCTTGATCCTGCTAGATAACAGAGTGAATGGTTATATGATTTAGTCCTTCTCCTGGACTTGCTAATTCTCACCATACAGGAAATTGTTATTTGGATGGAAGTGCATACAATCATATGAGTATCCCTGCCCATTTGCAGTCCAGCATCCGCTCACTACTTCAGTGTTTTTGAAATGAATGCTGCATAACCTCATCCAGAGAACCTTCTATAATTCACTGTTTGGGGGTTTGTTTTATATAGAAGACACAAAGCCTCTGGCAATGCAGATATGCCCTATAAAAGGCAATTGTTTGACTGAACATTTTCCCCAGCCAGTCACAAATCAGCATAACCATGTGTTTCAGGTTTCAGATATTACAGGTAACTTCAGACTGATTCTTTCCTGCATTAATGTGAAATCAGCCAAAAAAATGAGTGCCACCCTGACTTTCATTTTTTTAATTGAGGAAGGGGTTTGTTCCTATTCCTACCACTCAAAGCAGACTAATGTGACCTGTAATTAACCTTATATTTTGTCGCAATCATTGTGTAGGATAACAAAAGCATCTCAATGCCTAATTGTTAAGCAGATTTAGGTGTTATTTTATGCCTAGGCATGCCTGGGTTTTAGAAAGGAACCATAAAAGGAAAATGGCAAAATTTGGTGACAGAGCTTACTGTCATGCATTTGACAATTTCCTTGAAGGATTAGATTGCAGATCCACGTATGTATAAATTACACAGTAAAGCCTGGTATGTGAAGGTCACCTTCAGGCTAGATAACAGGAAAAATTTCAGAGCAATATGACAGTGGAACCAGCTGCCTAGAGAGGTGGTGGGCTCTCCCACACTGTTGTTGCTAGTCGCAAAGTCGTGTCCGACCCATCGCGACCCCATGGACAACATTCCTCCAGGCCTTCCTGTCCTCCACCATCCCCTGGAGTCCACTTAAGCTCACGCCAACTGCTTCAGTGACTCCCATCTAGCCACCGTCTCCTTCTCCTTTTGCCATCAATTGTTCCCAGCATTAGGATCTTGTCCAGTGGGTCCTTCCTTTTCATTAGGTGGCCAAAGTATTTGAGTTTCATCTTCAGTATCTGGCCTTCTAAAGAGCACTCAGGGTGGATCTCCTCTAGGACTGACCGGTTTGATTGCCTTGCGGTCCAAGGGACTCGCAGGAGTCTCCTCCAGCACCACAATTCAAAGGCCTCAATTCTTTGGTGCTCAGTCTTCCTTATGGTTCAGCTTTCACCGCCATACATTGCAACTGGGAAAACCACAGCCTCTCCCACACTAGAGACATTCAGAAAGAAGCTGGACAGCCATTTGAGTGGGATAGTGTAAATTGGTGTCCTGCAACAGCAGGGGGTTGGGCCCGGTGGTCTTCATGGCCCCTTTCAACTTTGCTATTCTATGATTCTATGACCTCAGGTGCTAGATGCCAGATGGGCTAAATTTAGTCGTCTTGGCCTATTGAACATGTAGGATTCTAAATTTAATAAACCCTAGAATGTAGAGTTCTAAATTTAATAATAATGTACCATTATTATTTATAATCCCCACTGTCCATCAAAGTGTATTTAGTGTCCAAAGTAAGAGTACATAGTTGAGTTTATTTAAGAGTTGAGGCATAACTATTATTTAGCTGAGTTCTATGCTCCTAACAATAGTAAGACAAAATTAAACAAAATTTAATTAAAACAGTATTAAAAACAATAACCTTTCTGCAGCAGACTAGTGGAATTTGCATTAAGTGATCCACATTTGTTCTTTTGCATAAGAATATGATCATTATCAAATAATGGTTTCATTTGTATCCTGCCTCTCCTCCAAGAATTTCAAGATCATAGACAATCACCACTGCAGCTGTATTTTACCATCATGACACCTGTGAGATAAGTTAAGGGTGTAGGAGAATGGCTCCTCCAAGGTCACCCAGAATTTCATGGAGCCTGCTGCCTTAGTTCAAGGCCCATCTAAGCTAGCATTCTTTGCAAGAATTCCAGCAAATATTGGTTAGCAGATAGTCCTCCAAAAGCAATCAACAGACACTGTCTGCATTCTGCCTACCCCTGTCTTGAATCATTTGGCTTTGCTAAAATTGCTCAGTTCTTGGCTGCTATTAGATCACTTAGAGTGCAGCCCTGTGTATGTTTAGACGTAAACTTCCCTGGGGGCATGGAGTTCTAGGGTGTGTTTCTGTCTAAAATATGCATAGGATTTGTACCCACTGTTCCTCCAGAACTGATCAGTTCACATGGCTTACCAATTACTCACTCCTAGCTGAAATTATGCAGTTATAATAGACCATGTAGGATATTTGTCAGGTACATAGTTAACAAGGAATACTGCTTTGATCAGGCCAGCCTCTTTATTCAGCTTTTTAGTCTAATTATTAATTACATTTATATCCCCCCTTTTCCTTTCAAGGAACTCATATATACATACATATGTTACATAATTCTCCTCCTCCTCTCAGCTGTAACTCACAACAGAAGTAGGCTGGGCTGAGCGTCTGTGACTGGTGCAAAGTCACCCAGTGACCTTTACAGCCATGTGGGGACTGCAGCCTAGATCTCTTGGGTCCCAGTCTAATTCTCTGGCCACCACACTGGACATGAGGCTGAATAAGCTCCCATGGATTTCTTACAGGAAAAAAGGAAGGCAGTAAATGAAAGCATAAATACATAAACAAATGCTTTCAACAGAAACACATTTTCCTACTCCTACTCTACATTATGTTGGCATGCTTTATGTCAATTGCTTTAAATGCTATGTAAATTTATAGGTGTATATTAGGATTGAATAGTATTGAAGTGTTGGTGTTGTGTTTCCTCTTAGTATCCTCTTACATAGCAAAGTGGAAGAGCCTCATGTGATGCTTGAAGTTGGCAGTGACTGGATACGTTCCCCAGCCAATCAGCATGAGCCTAATTATGGCCTGTTGGTCCAGCTACATCTCTTCCATGTCTTGTTGCCACTTGGACGCTTTGCAGAGGCTGAGAAGTTAGTCCAGGGCTGCAGCGCACTGAGCGGTGATCAGCAGCTGGAGGTGCACGAGAGAATTCAAGAGAAGAAACATCAGTGGCTGCAGCGGGAAGAGGAATGCCCAGTGCCTGAGGGACTGCCAGAAATGGCATGGACGCAGCGGTCAGGTAGCCTTTCTTTTTAGCAAACTGGTAGTTGAAACCATGGATGTCTGCGTATACCTGTATTCTTCGGTGAAGCCCTTTTCACAAGCCTGCATTGTAGAGTTGCTTCCTTGCAGTTTCTTTTAGTATTTGGCTGGTTTGTTTCCCTAGTCATTGCTTCTTGGACTTTTTTGGCTCATCATGACAGGTTGCATACACAGGCCAGACTTTTAAATAATGCAAATAAACTCAATGAGATTATCAAAAAAATGTATCAGAAACAGAGATCCAAGTCACCTCTCTCAGGTGTCTTGGTCACTTTGTTCTGCACAAACTTCTTTCTTTGCAAGCACTAAAAATCTATTGATTGAGGAGTTAGTCAAACCAGTCTGTTGTAACAGAGCAATCACTGCACTTTACAAATTATACACATGCACAATGGTCGTATCAGCTTTTGTGGCTTCAAACCTGCTGTGGCTCGATACATAGTGAACATTTTGTGAACCAGAAGTCATGACAAAGTATATTGTCTGGACTGCCCACATGAAATTAGTGATGGCCTTACAAGACAACCTCTGGAAAGCCTCTAAGAAGAAAGTGTTATTTTATTTTTATTTTTTTATTTATTAAATTTGTATGCCGTCCAATTACTAACGTCTCTGGACAGCTAACAGCATAAATAAATTGAAGACCCACTCTGGCTGCAAGTTAATAAAATACAATAATAAAATTCAGTATTAAAACATATTAAAATATTGATTAAATAAAAAGGTCTTAACCTGGCGCCGAAAAGCATATAATGATGGCGCCAGGTGGACCTCGCTGGGGAGCGCATTCCATAGTCGGGGCGCCACCGCACAGAAGGCCCTCCTCCGGGTACTCTGTCTCCTAACATCTTTCACAGAGGGTTCCCGGAGGAGGGCTTCTGTTGCCGATCTCGGGGCGGAAGGGCAAATGGGGGAAAAGGATTATTTCCACCAATCCTGTCTGGAAAGACCTTTAAGAACTTCCTGTGAGAGAGAGAGAGAGAGATTGTTAACCCCCTTTGAGGGCTGATTTCCTCATCACTTCTCCTGGGTGTCACCTTGTTCTCTTGCACTGCAGGTTCAGTGTCCCAAAAAGTGATGACTGTACTGGCACAGCTGGGCAGAGTGCTGGGATCTCTAGCAGGCCAGCTCTGCTCCATCTCCTACAAAAAGACACTCCTAGCTGCTTTCATGTTGTGTGTCATTGTAGTGCGACTTGATCCAGGTGAGAGAAAAAATCTTACAGAGAATTATAAATGAGGGATGTGGAACATAGAAAGTGGTAGTTGGAACAGTGGCAGTCTTAGGTGTCTGGCCAAGTAATGGGATTTTTGGAATGACTTCTACAGTCCTGCTCAAGTGACACGGCTTGCTGGTGAAGGACACGAGTAACTGAGGCAGGGCTGAAAAAGGGCACCTAATCAAACTGAGGTTCAGGACTTAAATGGGGGGCTTGGGCTTGAGAAAAAGCCCTAAAATTAGAGGCCAGGGTGTAAGCTGCTTAGGCAGGTTGCATGCAATACAGGCTTGTCTATGAATGAGTATGACAGAGAATGAGGATTGTATGTATGCGTAGTTTCCATTTTCATCTTCCTTATGGAAAATCAGGTTGGTGAGGCTGGAGGGGCAGAGGTGCTCCCATCAAGGGCTGGCACAGTCAGGCATCTGCTGAAGGCCCACACCCCAGCAGAGGCCCACTGACGAGAGCCCCTTGGCTTGCTCCTCGTTTTCCCCATTGCAGTCTGTTTGTTCACCTGCTTCTCGCTCTGGCCCAGGCAATGGTGTGGTGGTAAGAAAGAACAATGGTAGGAGCCACCATGGACTTAGTCGCTGATGCTCTGCCTCCCTGGTAAGCAGGCAAGCAAGCTGTCGCAATGAGGAAGAGGAGGAGCAAGAGAAGACAGGGAAAGGGAGGATAATGAAGTCACCTTGCTGAGGGAGGTAGGCATTGAGGTGCCTTGTTAGGGGACCTCAAAAACTGGGAACTGGTGCTGATGGGAGAAGCGCCTTTTGATCTTGTAAAGACAGCCTTGTTACATCATGTGAACTGCAAGTAGTTGGCATTTGTTTATGCTTAGAGAGGAGTATTTGTCGAGTTTCAGAAGTAGCACCTGGAGAATGAAAAATGACAGCATTCTTCCCTTCTTGTTTTCCAGCATCTCCCACCTCTCTGCCCTTCCTGTACAGGCTACTGCAGCTTTTCCATCAAGCGCGGATGGCTGCATTTCCTCCACACCCTTGGCCTCCAATTGAAGACTAAGTAGCTCTACTTGAGGAGGATGAAACCTCTCTACTTGAGGAGAGATTACGGAACAACTGTCAAATACAAGCCAATCAAGGCAACCTTTCAGTTGTGGGGAGGGAGAAAACAGCGCTGCAGTGGCTTCTTTAAGGTGTAGGCATCCTGTCAGACAAGGAAGGCAGCTGCAGGGCTCATCTGTGCTGAATTTTCTTCTAGCTGATGTCCTCTGTGAGTCAGAGTTGGGGGACACTTCCTTCCTATGGGAATGTGCCGCTGAAGCTGCACTCCTAAAAAGACCCTTCCTTGAACAGCTGCACTTACTTCCAAGTAAATATTGGGATAGCAGCTCTGGAGGACTTCCACTTCAAGTCATGTTACTTTTCCCGCAAAAGAGACGTGGCGTGTTTTCTGACACGGACTGACTGCAGCTTCTCCTAATGCATGACATCTGGGCCAAAATTCCTTCTCTGTTACGAACCGTGAGTGCTTTTGCAGGTGTGGACAGGACCAGTGCTTTAGAGGAAAAAGTAGTCTTGGGTGTAATGCTGGTGGTCTTTGCTTTGGTAAAGGATCTCTACCTGTACAGCGAGTGGAGCATGGGGCTGTCAGATCTGCTGCTTTTAGGGTAGCCATCTTTGCCCCTCCCCTCCCATCGAAGTTCCTGTGCCTGTAACATCTCTGAGTAGCATGCAAAACATGCCAGCAGCCAAACCTTTTCCTGACATTAAGTTGGAGCAATGAGTTGCTGCTCTGGTTGCTCATCACAGATAATGGATAAAGGCACAGTATTTGTGCCAGGAAGGAAAAGATGCCAAGTCTTCTGGCTTCCTCATATTAACAGCAACTAAACCACCATGACATGCAGGCTATTATCTGAAAAAGAACTGTGGTAACTTTTGCATGTTTGCTGGTGCATTCAGTTTTGTTTTTGTTTTGTTTTCAATAGCTTGGTGAAGGGACCTATTTTCAGTCTGGGAGGAACATGCAAAAGTTATATGATAGACAGATATTTTAAAGCAATTGTCACTTGACCATATGTCATGTACATGTAAGGTAACAAAAGTGAAGTAGGGTAATTTATACATCAGAAAATGCAATTGTCATCCTTGCCAAGGAGATGATAGCAGAACAGTAACAAGGAAGCATCTAAGCACCCACACTGCTGCATTGCTATGGTAGTAGCACAATTAATAGAAAGCAGACATTTTGTGGGTCTGCAGACCAAAACCCTTGATCACCGGAAAAGTTTGATTACCAGGTATTTTTATAACTCTGAATTTTAGAGCTGTTGCTGATTGCTATGTATGATTTTTAATTTTGTTCTCCTGGTTTATACATGTTTTGTTAACTTACTCATTTGCTTTTATTTTTGTATAAAATCTTTACTATCCTTGGGACCAGCTGGAGCTCCCAAGACAGTTTGGAATCACAAAGAAAAAATGTTACATCATACAGATGAGGTAATATAATGAAAAAGAGAGTAGAGCACAGCAAAAAGAGTGGAGTAAAATATCACTTGCAATACCAGTGAGCAACATGTCAAGCAAGCCAAAAACCTGCCAAGAAATAAAGACATTAAGAGACCACTCAAAAGACACTCTGTACTTTGGGCATTACAAAATAGAGTTCCTCGGTCTAGGCATTGCAAAAGAGAAGAGCCTGTGCCATATTTCAGGCAACTGGACTTCTGCTTATAGGGCACAGCGGAAGGGTTTGGATGATGAAATCAGTGGGTGTCGGGGCTTGTGCTAAAAATTGTTTTGGCCCCTAGCTTTTTACATTTACAGTGAATACCCAGCACGGTGAATTGTGCCTGGAAACAACCTGGTAGACTGTGCAGATTGAACGAAACCAGAATTATATGCCCTGAAAATGAGTCCCAGGTAGAACTCGGGTTCCCGTGTTTTTTACTAGCTGAAATGTTGCAACAGTTTTGAAAGGCAGCTCCACAGAGCATGTTGCAGTCATCGAATCAGGCTGTGACCACGGCATGTGGCCAGATTGGCTTTGTCCAGGTGCAGCTGGAGCAGCAGAAGGAGCCGCTGCAAGGACACTCCAAGTCACAGTCCCCACTTGGCCAATCGGAATAAGCCTGGATCCAAGTGGTACCCCAGAGCAGCTATTTTTTGAGGGGACCGCAGCTCTGGTTGGAGCAGCCTGTACATCTAATTCCTGATTGGTCTTCCTGTTGACCAGTAACATCTCTGAATTATCTACTTTAAATCACACTCTGGTTACATTGAGTACCAGTTGAAGATACTTAAAATATCTGAAGATACTGGAAATGAGAACTGTTTGGAAATGAGAAATCGAGTAGGATGTCATTAGCCCTACTGATGGTGTGTCCCACTCCAAATACTCTTTCCAAGCAGTTTCCTACAGCACAGGAAACGAGGTTTCTGTGTGACCCATCAGCTGTTGCCCAAGGAACCAAATGGTAGGCCTGAAACTACCTTCTGCACCTTACTAGCAAGGTAGCAACAGTCGCACATTCTCAGCCCCTTCGCAAAAGCATGACACAATGATTAATGGTACCGAAAGCCACTGTGAGGTCCACCAAAACCAACAGGGCTTCACTCCCCCTGTCCTGCTCTCAATACAGGTTGTCTGTCAAGGCAGCCAAGACCGTTTCAGCCCCAAAACAGGAACTAAGCCAGATTGGGATGGCTACTTTCCTTCAAGCAAGCTGTTGCTATACGTTTGAACTGTTTTTCAGGAACCAGCTAGTCAATTGCCTAGGAAGGTGGGATCCAACATCCACCCTCCCCTTTGCAGCAGCCAGGAAGCAAAAGGGTCAAGAGAGCAGGTGAGAGGCCTGAAGGCCTCTTCACATCCACAGCCTGAACCAGCCGAAGTGTATCCATTAAAAAGGACAAGTGGATATCAAGTGGATATCCACTGACCCTTCTGGGGTCTTAAGAATGAATGGATGCAAGTGAGTTTCTCAGCAAAGTGCTCTTGCAAACCCCTCACAATAGACTTTTCCCCTTGGCATGATGGTGGCAGAGAAATGTGACCATATCACTGCTGTCACGGAGCAGGCCCGAAAGTTGATTCTCGTTCTTTGTTTGGCTGGAATTGTCACAAAACATTCACTGAGGTGCTAGTTGTCTACCTGTCTTTTTCATTGCTCCTCACTCTAGGGAAAGAAGTGTGGGCTCTACCAGGCAAGAGAGGACATCTGAAATGTACAGTGTCCATGTACAGCGTGAATTGAATCTGTCTTGTTTCTGTCATTCAAGTAGCACCTCATAGCCAATACCAGCTGCAAAATGTGTTTGTGTGTTTGTTCTGTATCTGTAATGTACAAGCCAGAGATTCAACAGAATCAAATGAAAAAGTCTTTGGATGGACTTTTCCATTTTGGGCTGTGCATAGGGATTTGGATAGTTGAATTCTCCCCTGTGAGTAGGAGAAGCCACCATGTGCAGCAGAAGGATTCAGCCTATCGTTCTTGGCATGTGTGCTGCATGCAAGGAAAACCCCACTGCAGCCATGGGGAAGGCACTGGAAAATGCAACCCCCTCCTGCTTCTTGGAATGGTAGAGGCTAGGAGAAGGTTAACCACTCAGCCCTGCTTAAAGACAAATAGACCCAAGTGGGATAGAGAAGGGAGAAGATGCCTTCAGATCATTTTTGGAGGTGTCACACCTGGATCCTGCTGAGCTTATCCCCTGAGTGTGTGAGTGTCCAGTGATGAGATGGGCAGGGGGAGGGGAGGGGTTGGGTTACCAGGGGCAATTATGACCTCTTTCCTCGCCTGCACTGTGATGCTCAAGGGTGCTCCCAGGGCTGTGCAGCTTGGGTCCCTGGGCAGCCAGCCGCCTAGAAGCAAGACAGCAGTGTAACATCAACATCTGCAGCTGCTGTGGCTGAGCAGAAACGGGAGTGAGCACTACTGGAGGCACCATGGTAAGGAGGAAGGCAAGAGGAAGCGAGACTCTGCCGCAGTCCCAGAGAAGCCAGGGCGCACACACAGAGGGCTTAATCCTAATCCAAGGCTGGCTCTCCTGTGGCCTTCCCTAACTTTGTATCCTCCAGGGTTTTTTGGACTACACCCTCATCAGCTCCAGCCAGCATGGTCAATGCTCAGGAATGCTGGGGATTGTAGTCTAAAAGATCTGGAGGACAGCAGGTTGGGAAAGGATAAGATGATAGAGAGTTAAGGTAGCCTGGGCAGAAGAGAAGCCATGTCTGGGTGCTCGGAGGGACAGAATAGTTGGAGAGTGGCAAAAGGGATTGCAAAATAGGATTGGTTTATGGAAATCTGGTTTTCATTTATTACTTTCAAAAATAAAGTACATGCACATGGTGGGCATGTTGTGAGTGGAGCCGGCTGGTGCCGGAGGTCAGACTAGATGGCCCGGGAGGCCCCTTCTGATTCGCTCTGTTTCTATAAACCTCCAACAGCCCCAAAGCCAGGCTAGAAAGATAAAATAGTAGAATACAAAAGCTAAAAAGGACTAAGCTGGCTGTACTATCTTAATGAACATGAAACAAAAGCCAAGCATAGTTTTTGTTTGTATTGTTGACCTTTATGACCTTTGATTTTTTATATTACTTATCCATTGCCTTTATACTTTGCCCTTCCTCTGGCAAGGAACACCAGGCAGCTAGTAAGGATCTCTCCATTTTATCTTCACAACAATAGCAACCCTCTATGTTAAATTAGTCTGTCAGTGATGGGCTCAAAGCAACCTAGATCTCCCAAGTCCCAGTCCAACACTTACCAGTGCACCACACTGGCTTCAACAGGGCCATATTCTAACCACTGTACCATACTACCTTACTGTAATGATATTGCACTATTCATGATATATCAACTTTTTAAAAGTCAGCAATGGCATGACTAAGCCAGAGAACAGATTACAGATGCTGTTACATTTATCCTCAGGAGGTCCTGTTCACATGACTCTTGGACATGGAGCTGTGGAGAGGAATGAAGATTTCCCCCCACCCTCAAAAAAAAAGCAAAAAAACAAAACTTGGGGAGAAAATTAAAATTTGTTCCAGGGCTAGGCCTGTAGATCAGAGATTGGACTTGGCAGGGTAAAGAAATGTCAAGGATAGCATTATTAGCAAACACAATAGTGTTTGGATATTTAAATTAAAGTCATATGATTATTGTAATGGAATTATTTTAGTGACTGTGGCGGGGGGAGGGGAAAACCAAATGTCCACCAACTTGTTCTTCCTCAGAAATAAATGTGTTTCCATGGCTAGTCAAAACAAAGTGATTGTGGTGACTAAAAGTGAAAGGACAGAAATTCTGTTCCAGTTCAGCTCTTTGGTCAGCTCTTTGCTCTGTGTTGCGTATCCCTATATGTTAATATAAAGCAAAAAGTATCTCTCTTGTTAAAAATAATTACACAGAAAGGCAGCCTAAATGTCCTGTGTAAAGCATTAATATGCAAAAGAGCTAGGTTTGCCTGTTGCTACACCCTTGGCTTCCGCCCAGGCAGCTGTAAGTCACCTATGCAAAGCTAGAACCATGTGCAGGTCCTTGTTTTTGCACTGCAGTTCTGCATGCTTTGAAAAGCAACATATTGGGTAGTTTGAGTAAATGGAAACCAAGCCACGGCAGTGCTTGTTTCTAACTGGCTTCCCATGTGCGGGCAGGCAACACACTAGGTTGTTTTGTGTGTGCTATGCACCCAAGTGGTTGTCCTACAGTTTAATGAGCACAAGCCTTTCAGGACAGTGAGCTAAGTCATACAAGGAGAGGTTGAAGGAGATGGATATGTTTACCCTGGAGAAGAGAGGATGTGATTGCCATCTTCAGATAGTTGGAGGGTGTTCATAAGACAAAGGAGCAGATTTGATCTCTGTTCATCTGAGCTTAGAACCCAAAACAATAGGTTAACATTATAAGAATGTCCCACTTGACATTGGAATGGATGATCTCCAGAGGTAATGCACAGTCTATTGCTAATATGGCTAGATGGCCACCGATCAAGTATTCTTGTAGCAGGGAGTTTCCTGGATCACCCATGGGTTGGTTTTGATTTGACTTCCTCAACTTGATTCCTTCCAGATGTTTTGGACTTCCTCTCCCATCAAGCCCCAGCCAGCATCACCAATGCTGAGGAATGCTGGGAGATGTACAGGCTTGGGTTTGTAGTGAAGAAAATAATTCAGTATAGGCCTGGCTGGACCTTTTAACATTGCTGTTTACTTTATTCCAGAGAAGAACCCTACCTTTTATAACAAACCCTAGCTCAAATTAAACACAGGAGCAGTTTAAACAGGCAAACTGTAATTGTTCTCCAGCTTACAAAAAGAAACTCCCACAATTCCCAGAATAGTGAGCAGTAGCGGTGTTTTTGTAAAAGGGGAAGGAGTTAAAGCTTACCAACAAGCAGCATCTCTGTTATTTACCATCAGTTTGAAATTAGAACAGGAATGCTGAAAGATAAACAAGGAAACATATCTGACCAAGAGAATATAAAGAGAAGGTGGAAACAATATGCAAAAGAACGATGCAAAATTGGTGAAAGGATGACTGACTCCTTCAAAGGGGAATCCTATGAAGAAGAGCCTGCAGTATTAGAAAGAAAAGTAAAAGCTGCTCTGAAAGCAATTGGAAGGAATAA